TTTCAGATTGAGCCCAATATAATTCTTAATATTACATAAACATGGGCCTTTCACTTTGAAGATACATAAACAAAATGATAGAGACAGATTCAGAAGTGTAAAGTAAATGACTAGTATGAGCAAGTGATTTCCTATGAATTAGACTTACTGCTAAAAACAAGAAAAACTGTTGAAATTTAAGGAAAAACCCAGTGTTTTCCAGGAGGCTAATGGGCATTTAACAGGATGGGTAAAGCAGGAAAGATTTAAGTGAAATGTGTGATTCTTGACTGTTGACTTTTTGGAGGCAGGTAGCTGCAGAATGTTAGAAATATTTCCAATTATGAAAGAAAAAAAAATGAAAAGTTTAACAAAACTATAAGAAACACAAAATTTGTCCAGCATATAACAAAGTTCAGTATGAGAGGCCAGAACAAACAGATAAAAGATAAAGTCAGAAAAACAGTAAAAAAAAATTTCCTAAGTCAAAGACAACAGATCAAAAGGCGCATGGAATGCTGCTGACATTTTATGAACACTTATTTTTGCCAAGTATTTGGCATGTTGAAACTCATTCAATATTCCCTACAACCCCTATGTGATAGGTCCTTTTAATATTATTCTCTTAACAGATAAGTAAAGACTGGACAAAATAAAGGACATCTATACTTAAGAATAACAATGGATTTTTGAATTTTAGCATATAGAAGTAGTGCGTGTATGCAGTGAAGAAGCAAATACCTGCAAAAGAAAGTGTATTAGGTTAGGATTATATGTCCTCTGTAATTAAATGGTAGGACTATTCTGTCCAGTATGGTGGYCTTATGAAGCATGTGTGGCTCTTAACCTTTACTTTACTTAAATTAAATAAAGTAAGTTCATTTCCATTGTCATAGGAAGTTGGACAGTGCTGTGTTAAAAGATGATAGAGAGGCATTCAGAGAACTCTGAGGGAGAATTATTTATAACCTAAGAATGATAACTAGGTGAAGTTGTCCTTTACATAGGCAGGACAAAGTGGCTATTTTTTTTCTTTCTTTTCTTTTCTTTTCTTTTTTTTTTTTTTTTTTTTTAGTCTTTCAGTGACTCAAAGAATATCACTCAGGTACTTTTCGGGGTTTGGGGACTGCTACTCTCATTATATCCAACAGAGAAGTTAGCATGATGAGTCAGTTTCAAAATTGTTTTAACTCTTTCCATCTTGTTTCCCAGAATAGCTCAAGGCATATAAAGGTAGGGGAAAGTCTTCATCTGTGGCAGATAGTAAGAAGGTGCCCTTTTTATAAATCAAATTTCAGACTGTTGGAGCAGTACCTTTATCTGTGACTCCTTTTGGAAAAATTGTCTTTGCCTAGCTTCCAGAAATATTCTTCCTACCTCACCAGCAGCTCCTGTGCATTCATTTCCTTACTACCTGGTTCTTCTTCATCTGCTAAATATAGGTGAGCTCAAGCTTTAATCCCCAGACCAAATTTTTGGTTTTGTCTACCCTCACTAGTAAATTACTTTTAAAATGTCAAATGTTTTCATTAAATTGATGATATCCTATTATGTCTTCTTTTCCCTAAATGGCTTTCAAAGTTATCTAGCTTCTACTATATGACATTTGTACTTGCACGTCCAGTCAAAATCTATAACAAAGATGTGAAAATGGAATATTAAGCTACCCTTGGCCCCAAACATGCTCTTTCCTGTGTCTTTTTCAGTGTGGCACTACCTTTCTCCTCCTTAGGCTTTTACAGCCTTGAAACTTTAACTTTTATCCCTCAAATTCTGGCAGTGCCATCTTCAGGATGTGTTCTGAAGTCATTTGTCTGTGACTATTATCCTATCCTGATCATTCTCATTTCTTTCTTAAGCTACAGTAGTAACTTAAGGAAATGGTTTCAGTTTTGTACTTGTTCACACAACTGATAGTCACTTTATTTTTATCATTATTATTGTTATTATTATTGATACTGGAGATTGAACCCAGAGGCACTTACCAACTGAGCCACATCCCCAGCCCTTTTTTTTAGAGACAAGAGTTTTGTTGAGTTGCTTAGGGCCTCACTTAGTGGCTGAAGCTGGCTTTGAACTGTAGTCTTCTTTCCTCACCCCCTCAACTCCCCGGTGCGTGCCATTGCACTCTGCCTGATAGTCACTTTAAAACATAGATTAGAAATACTCTGGTGGCTTCTTTTCACACTTAGAACAACTCAGTCTTTTCTCCCYGGCCTACAATGCTATATATAGTCTGGCTTTGGCCAGGGGCTCCACTCTCATTTAACTATCATTTCTCTTGTTTTATGTTAGTCTTCTTGACTTTCTTGCTTTTATCAAGTTTGCCAACTTTACTTCTCCTTAGTCTCTCTATGTTCCTTTAACACATTTAGTTGGCTTATCCTCTTTCTCTCTTACCCTTATTTAATTTTGGCTTCTGCTTAAGTAACCTCCTCATAGAGGCTTTCTCTTCTCTTTTGTCTATATTTTTAGAGCACTACTTGACATATTTGGTATTTATTATTCATTTGTTTGTAGTTTCTTTCCATCACAAGAATATAAACTCTATGAAGACAGAGATTTTTGTCTGTTATATGTGCCTCCCCCCTGCTTCCACTTCCCCTCCCCCCCAGTTCTGAGAATATAAACAGGAGTTCTGTACCTCTGAGCTACATCTCAGCCCTGTTTGTTTGTTTGTTTATATATTTTTGAGATCAGACCTCACTGAGTTGCCCAGGTAGGTCAACTTGTAATCCTCCTGCCTTAGCCTCCCAAGTAGSTTAGATTATAAACTTGTACCACCATGCCTGGCTYTCCTGTTTGCTCTTGTATCCCAGCACCCAGGAATAATGTCTAGTACATAATGCTTAGAGCAAAAATAGGGCTAGGGATGTGGTTCAGTGTAGAGCATCTGCCGAGCATGTACAAGGCCTTGGGTTCTAGCCCTGGCACCATTTTTTTTTTTAAAAAGCAAAATAAACAAAAATTTAGAAATTTTTGTAAAAAGCAGTGTCTTTGAGGGAAGGATTTTGGCGGTATTTTTTTTCTCTGGGGATTGAACAGAACCTTATGTATTCTACTTTTGAGTTGCACCTCCAGTCCCAAGCTCAGGCTTTTTTTGTTTTGCAGTACTAGAGGCAAGCACTCTACTCTGTACCACTTAGCTACATCCCAGCCCAAGATCAGTTTTGAGAATTAGAAGAATAAACAGCCTAAGTGAGAAAAACTTTAGTAGTACTTAATCTTCTTTTTCATTGAGATTCATGGAATAGAAATTGTATCTCACAAAGTGGAATCCTGTGAAAATACTTTCCAAATCATTTGAAAAATATGATTACAATGGTTTGTGAAGTATATTGGAGACAGTGAATTGCAGTTTAGGTACAGTTACAAACCAAATGAGGAAATCATCTGAGCTAACTCATTGGAACTAGAGGAAAATGATTTTTTAAAAAAGATGTACAAGCTGGGTGCTGTGACACATTCCTGTAATCCCACAGTCCAGGGATACTGAGGTTGGAGAATTATGAGTTCAAAGCCAGCCTCAGCAAAGGTGAGGCATCAAGCAACTCAGTGAGACCCTGTCTCTAAATAATTAAATACAAAATAGGGCTGGGGATGTGGTATAGTAGTTGAGTGCTCCTGAGTTCAATCCCTGGTACCAAAAGAAAAAAAAATATGAGCAAAAATAATTTATTGACTAAAATTCTTTTTCTTTAAAAGTACATAAGGCATTCCTTTTTGTTATGACTTGGTGAAATAATTAACATACTCTTGTGGATTGATCAAACATTGTTTTGTATGTATATTTTAAAATTCGTTCAATTCTGCCCCCTTTTGTCTKTGTTTTATTTAATTAATTTGTTTATTTTTGATGCTGGAGATTGAACCAGGGGGCACTTTGCCATGAGTCCTTTTTATTTTTAGATAGAATCTTAAGTTGCTGGCCTTGAATTTGGGATCTTCCTGCCTCTTGCTTGGCTACCTCTTCTTTAGTTAGTTTTTTTTTTTTTTTTTTTTTTTTTTAGGAGGGTGGGTTACTGGGGGTTGAACCCAGGGGTGCCTAACCACTGAGCCACACCCCCATTCCTTTTTTATGTCTCACTRAGTTGCCTAGGGCCTCAGCTGCCTAAGCCACTGGAATTACAGGTGTGTGCCGCTGCACCTGGTTTGCTTTAGTTTCTTCATCTTCTAAGTGGGTATATTAATTAAACCAGCTTTATCTAGGTTGTTGTCTGTGAGGATGAAATACTAACATGGGGAGTACATTTTTAATGTTGCCTGCTACTGATGATATTATTGCAGTTTACTGACTCAGATCACTCTTGTTCCTTATCAGAGTTCTGGAGTAACTTCAGATGGATCTCCAGTTGTTTCCTCTGCTTCCTCTCTATTCCCAATTCACTTTAGTTGTATTCCAAGGCACACATTTCTTTGGATTATTCTTAGTTAAATCTCCCTTCTTAGTTTAAAAAAAAAAAGCTGATTTTTGCCATTGGAATAAGGTCTGTAACATTTTTTTATACCTAAAAGTCTCTAGCCTTTTCCTCCAGATATTCTGATGCTTATCCAGTTTGTGGGGAACCTGAGAAAATCCTATCATAAAACAAATTTGTTGGGTGTGACTACCAAAACAAATGGACAGTGGAGTATGTTCTACGTTTTATAGCATGGCCACAATAATCATAGTTTAAATATTTTTGGCTGGTATAAATAACTGGATATCATTTCTTGTTATAAAACTTTTTCAGTAAGATAAATAGATGCAGGACCTTTGTGTAGTACTACTTTGGATAATTTTCAGGAGAAACCATTTGCATTATATTTGATAGGACACTAAACAACTTTATTTGCTTTGTGGAATTATTTATGAGCCAGTTAAAAGTTGGTGAACATCTAATGATGATAACTAACTTYAGTTTTAGAATGGTCAATTTATAGCTCTTCCTTCTAACTTATATAGCAGTTATATACCCAGGCTTATTGTCTGTTAGACTCAATGTATTAGCAACTTTTTATCTCTCTGTTCTTTGTTGCAGGAGGGTATGGTTCCATTCCATTTTATCCAAACATGATATCAGATTATCCAGGAACAAGTTATAAAGAAGGGAGACTGGTTCCAGAACACATCTCTGGAAATTACCCTATGGACCCTGACTCTCATGGCAACATTACAATGTAGGTTCTGTCTAAGCAATGATAGCCAGTGGTCTTTGTTGAGCTGATCACATGACATGTTCTTGTTTACTGAGTCAGATTGAGGAAAGTCTATTTTAAAAAGGCCAGTAGCACTTATTTTATTCCTTAAGTATTTACACCTCAATGATGTGGTTGGAAATCATAGTGAAGTTGAGGTGATGTTTTAGCCAAGAGACACACAGTATGTGATCCTCTCTGAGGCCTCTGTAAATCTACATCCAAAGAGGCAGCAAAGCAAGGGAACTAATACTAGTTGCTTGCTTGAGCTTTAGCCTTGGACTCTCATGAACTAAACAGGACCATTTGGAGAGCTGGGCTAGATTGACCCAAAGCCTAGAGACAGGTTTTTGTTTTTGCTTTCAGTAGCAAAGTCACTTAACCACTGTGTTTATACCATGTAAGTCATATAAGGCTTATTTCTTAACATTTATTCCTTATTTAGCTCACAATGCAACTCTGAGAAGGGTTTTTAAAGATGATGAAACAGTCTTTAAGAATCGAATTACTTCCTTAAGGTTATACAGACAACAGTGAAGTGTGGGACCCATGATAGTCTAACTTTAGGGCATTCCCTGTGCCAATTTCCTACAGATGTGGCCCTGAGAATGTGTTAACAGGTATACTCAGATGAAGAGAGCTGAGCCCTTGGGAATGGGTGCCTGAGAGTGGGTCCTGGGCAACCACAAGCAGCTTCATCTTACCTTTATAGTATACCATACAAACATTGCATTCTGTGTACTCCATAACGTGAAGAAGGTGGGAACACACTCACTTACTACTGCACTAAAAGTAAGAGGAGGGAACTTCTACCCTCAGGTACCTACTACTATCCTCCTTTCAGCCTCTCAGGTACAGGAAGAATGTCCTATCAGTGCCAACTGGGAAAAGTGTGAAGAGGAAATCACAGGAGTCTGTTGAAGGGAGAGGAAGAAATGTTTGGGGCCTGCTTCCCGAGAGCAGGTGAATAGATTAATAAGCCTTATTCACTTTTGAGAGGGAAAAWTTTCTAAAGGGATGGTACAAACTTGATTTACTCTTCAGGGTGGCATAATACAATATTCTTAAATCTTGAACATAGTACATAGTTGTGGGAGGAGTATCCTGACCTTGGGGGGAAATAACAAGAACTTTGAGCTCCCTCTAGAGGTCCACAGTGGTAAAAGCATCATAGAGGTCTGCAGGGAGGTAGGTCCCTTTAGCAATAAACTAGCATTTATAAATGCATTCTCTCTAAAAACTGTTTTCTTACTTTGGGGGAGAAATGAGCCTATGAGAAGAAATTTGAGTTAATCATTATAATTAGCTCTGGGGCCAGTGAAAAGATAATGAAAATGAATCATGTGCCAAAACAAACTAGTATGTTTCTTAATGAGAGCTCTAGTGTTGAAACAAACCAGATCAAAATGAGAATATATGAGAATCTGATTTCTATACTATTATATATCAGAATGTTTTGAAGGTGCATCCTTATATTGGACAGAGACAAAGGTGATTTGTATATCTGCCATGTTCTCAACCTTACCTCCCCAACATCTGAAAAGAAAAGAACAAGTAATAGATTAGTAGGAAAWGCAAGTTGCATTCTTAGTGAAAACATGTAGGTAAGCTAACACGTGTAGTTTTTTAATTTTTAAAAAACCTCCTCTGGATGGGGTTGTGGTCAGAGGTAAAGCACTCACTTTGTATGCGTGAGGCACTGGGTTCGATCCTCAGCACCACATAAATATAAAAATAAAGATATTGTGTCCACCTATAACTAAAAA